TTCTTCCTTTCTTTGGGTTCCGACCTGTTATGGTATTTGTAGCGTTGACGTTTTCTTTTGTCGTGTCTATTGTCCCCCTGTTTCATTCCTAGCCCCCGTCTTTTCCTTCTCTATCGTTCTTTTTGGTTGGGTCAAACGATGGTCTTGCGACTCATCGTGTGAGAGGTGTGGGAGGGTGATTCTTGGTATTTTGGAGCTCCACATCCTCGATCCTTTCATTTTTTGGGATTCGACAATTATTTGTCAAGTTCCTAGGTTTCACGTATCTGCGTATGAGAACCTCCAGGGTGGGCTAGTGATGTGGGATTTTGAATGTAGCCAGTGCCAACGGTATTGCGGAGTAATTCCCAGAGGAAAGTGCGGGAGATGTAACTCCCGATGGAAGGATATAACAGGGGACAGGACCTTTGTGGCCCCTCTTAGAGGGAGCATGTCCTCCCCCTCTGCGCTCAGTCTACCTTTGAGAGCAAGGCAACAGCAAGCACTGCTGTTCCAAGAGAATAATAAACAAATGAGTCTTCATCAGGGTCTTCAGGGATCGCTACGCGTGTAATCCCACAACAAGATGCATAGAAGAGAATGATTTCTTCTAGAAGCAGTTGCGGGGAGATGTAAGTCCCCGATGGAAGGATAAAAACAGGGGATGGATCTAGCCCTTGATTGATTGAGCAGCGGATGGATTCGTGCCCCATGCCTGCCATTCCTACCCGTACTCAAGGCAACAGCAGCAGCTGTTCCGCACGAACGAGCTAACAAACAAGTAATTAAGTTCTTCTTTCACGGGTCTTTTCCAGATTATTGCACGCGCGCATATCCTTACAAACTCGGATAGCAGCACCTACTACCTGTGTCAGCGATATGCATGCCTGACTCCACACATTCCAGTCCTCAATTGCCACCGACACAGTTGAATCACGATGACCATCTTTGCTGAATGTCATGCGGCGGGACAAAAAATTTTGGCACCCATGGCGTCGTAGAAGGTTCCAGGAACGTTACTTGTGGGAGAGTGAAATCAAGACAAAGGCGGTAAGTAAGCGGCGGGGGAATCGGCGGGCAATTGGGGGCAAGTTGTTTCGGAGAACCATGCAACGCCTGGAGAGCACAGCGATTGGTCAAAATTGGCGGCCACCCGAACCGTTCTCTGGCAAGAAACAAGAACACGTGCCGTCCAGCCCACCAGCTCTCTCCACCAGTTGCCGCCCCACACTACGCGCATAACTCGCCGCTCTTCTCAACTGGCATCCCCGCTGTAGTAGTTACGCAAGTTCTGCGTTGCCTCGCCGCCACCCCAGCCACTACTGTGTGGGGAAGGATCGGGCAGTGACAGGCACCGCCTGTGTCTGGCAACAGCAGGAAGGATTTGAAGAAGCAGGACCACAATCGTTCCTCTCGGCGCCAAGGCTCCATACACAGCAGTACCCGTATTCGATGAGCGACCCTTCGCCTGCTGCTGTGACCGACAGCAGCATGGAGGTGAGTGGGCGTTGCTGTCGTTGCATACAAACGGTACCGGCTGCACCGGTTGCCCTCGGCAAGGTGTAGACTATTTAGGTACAGTAAGCGTTGGGGGGTCTTGTGGATGTTTCGTTGAAGCAGCGAACTTCCGTTGTACAGAAGGAGTCAGCGGCGAGCGCTCAACCTCAATGAGCTTGAGCAGGCAGGTGAGCGCTTGCGCATCCCAGGCTCACCGTCGGCTTCAATTCGTGCCAAAGCTTGTGGGGTCTTGCGTCTGCTGTGTATGTGTGCTTTTCTCCCACGATGATGGGCGGGAACCCTGCTACCTGGTGTTTGTATGCTATTTTGCATGTATTCATCATGCAAGTTGACATGTTCGCGTTTCCCAGGGCGGCCGTCCTATGCATACAATACGGCAGTGAAGCGACAGCCGGCCTCTCTAGCCACCGCTCCGTCCAACACAAACCCAGACGCTGCCACTGCTGTCTGTTGCCAATGTTTTTTTGACTGATTTGTGGTGTGCGAGGGACCCGCGGCACATAAGTACCTCGGGGCAAACAACAAGAGCCGGCAGACCTGAATCCCGAACTCGCATCAAGTTTGATGCCGACTCCCCGCCTTTTTCCAGCGTGGTGCAACTGCCGTGGAGCGTGCACAGTGACAGCACTACATGTAGTTTTTGGCAGCTGGGGGGGCGGGGGGGGGGCAGCGTCCATTAGGTAGACTGGACAGCGAAAGAGAAGTACATGTATTCCTCGGGTGCCGTAAGGTGCATCTTTGGACAGTGTAATACCGTGTACGACACAAGATAACACCCTCCCTGGACCGATTTTCAAGCTCCATTACGCCACGACGAAGAGGATGCACAAACGAAGCGATACAGTTTCGGAAAGCTCTCGACGAGACGGTTTCAACGCCGCCATTTTTGGCACCCCCCACTGTTTCTGCTGTTGAGAAATCGAGCTTTGAAAATCGGTCCAGGGGGTGTGTTATCTTGTGTCGTATACGGTAACCACACATGGATTTTTCGCGCGGGCAAGTATTGCAGTTCTGCCTCCCCTGCCCCGCCCAGTTCAGAACTACTGCTGTACATCTACATGTGCAGAGACACCGCCCCGCTTTGCTCATGTTACAAGGAACGATCTCACGCATTCGAGGTAGCCACACTTTCTTGCGTCCGGTACAGGAGTTGGAGGTTTTTCTTTTTTCTTCGACCAGTCAATGGTGGCACTCCGTGCAATAGGGCTCTGTTTTTCCTCGTTCTCCTCCTGCATATGCATACGAACTGTTGTAGACTCCTGTACGCAGAAGCAGACGAGGGAAGCAGGGTTGGTTCAGACAGACATTCTCGCAGCTTCGTGAGACACCCTGCCGCGCCCACCCATATCTCTTCCCTAAGCACATTTCGTGTCCTCCTTGTTGTGAGTGAAGCGAGCCGTCTGATCCCTCTCACGAAGCAATACGTAGCGGCAAGCTAGCAAGCTACGTAATCGCTGCATGCAGGCATGCAGTGGAGTCAACAACCATTGATGATTTCCAGATATATATGTACAGTCCTCGACCGTTCGGCCTCCAACTATTAGAGCAGGCTGCACGACACGCGACCGCTCGCCGACTTTCTGAACCGGCACGATTGCTATCTACTCGTACCCAACAAAATGTGCTGCTCGGGGAATCGTGTGCATAGAAATACACAGGTGGCTTCCGCTGACTCAATGAATCCGTTGTCAGTCTCTCCAAGACTTTTTTAGTAAACAAAAAGTCTCACAGAAAGACTTATTCGGCTTAATCCATTGCAAACAGCAGTAGTCTATCCGAGGCTCTTTTTCTGTGGAGGAGATGAATTCGTTGTATTATTAATTAGAAAAACGAATGCAAGCGCAGGGGTACCGAGGTAGGTGCCATGGATGAGACACACACGTGATATTTTGCGCATGTTAATCTACGTGTGGCGGGTGTGCGCGCGAATGATGTAACTTGCGTGGAATCCGCCGCGTTCAGCGCTCGCGCATCGTTTCGTCCCGCGCAGTCATCGTAGTCATGATCACAACAGCCGAAGTGCTCGCTCAACGAGTGTGCGAGTATCTTTATTTACTTTTTCTATATGCCAAAACCTGAGAAATAAAAAATGCCCAAACAAAACCCAAAAAATGTACTGCCAACACCTGAGAAATAAAAAATACCCAAAACCAAAACTACACACACAACTTTTACAAGTATTTCTCCTTTTACTTACGTACTGCCAAAACCAGAAAAATAAAAAATACCATGACACACCCACACACATTGACAACACGATTCATTTTTTTTTTTTTGTTGTGTGTTGTAAGAGCGCTAGCCGCAAAAAATAATGCTGTACGTGCCTCGGGTTTGTGTAAGTGGAGCGAGAGGGTGAGGGGGGGAGAAGCAAAAGGTTTAGAGAAGAGGGCCGTGGGAGTGAATGAGTACATGGCACGTGGCACGTCAGTGGTGGTGTGAGTGCTCGCGGTCCAACCGCGGCTGGCGTGGAATATTTCATTATTTACAGAGTATTCGTACGATCGCAGAAAGACTGCCTGTCTGTTGGAAACAACACCACAGCAGTCGAAGGGAAGGGAGACTATGTTCCGTGGCTTGGCGGGGCATGGGGCTGGGTGACACACCGGCAGCTGCTTTCAGGGTGGGGTCCCTGTGTAGTGCCGGTGTGTGCCCAGAAAATTTTACCGGCACAACGGCGGACGTGCACTATTCAATTCAAGGTACTGACAATGACTTGGAAATTCAATGTGTGCCCGCCGAAAACACCGACACTACCCGGGTATTGGCACTATTCAACCGGCACGAAGCAGGAACCCCAACTGCATTCAAAAGATATTGTACATTTTTATTTTTTTTGTCGGGGACGTCCATGTTGCAATTTTTCTATTTTATTGTCGGTTTAGGGGACGTCCATGTATGCTCCTGGGCGGAGAATAGAGTGTGCGTGGTTTCGGCAAGCACCAGCACTTGAGAAATCGATACAGCCTCTTGTCGAACACTCGAATTCTTGAGCACCATTTTGTGAGCTCGGTTAAGAAGCCCTACACTAAAACCTATACAACGGTCATTCGCAGCATAGCCCTAGGAACTAGTAGGAACACCAGCCTCGGCCTACACTAGAGGTTCTCGAGTGCTGGCGCTAACGGTGGTGTCCGCAACGGTGGTATACTCGCGGACCCACTCCAGGACCTGTCTATACGGAAAGACGGGGAACAGACATCGCACAACAGTCACGCCAACGCCAACCCACTGTCATCCTACGACCACATAAAAACAACCAGCAGACCACCCAACCTAGACCTATTCCGAGAGCAAGAGCTAAAGATTATGCGGCGCACCTTCATTGCGCGTGTGTCTTCCTCGCTTTCCCTGTGCGTCAGGCCGCTGCTGATGCTTCTGCTGGCACAGCTGCTGCTGCTGCTGCTGCTGTAGTGGCCACTACCGTACCAGAGTCTCCACCGCCGGCCACAGCGGCGGAGGCCGTTGCCGTTCCGGCTACTCCCGTCAAGGCCGGCGCTCCTGACATGGAGACACAGATGGTGAACGCGGGCCCTAAGGCGGACAAGCCCGATGACTCCAAGGCCAAGCCTGAGCCCAAGCCACAGGTGTGCTTGTTGTCGTGAAGTGCGTTCGCGTGTGGGTGGTGGCTGCGGTGACGCTCGGCATAGCGTTCCCGGCCGTGCTACGAGTATCACAGGCCACGAACCACTGCTGTGCAGCCATCAAGGACTCTGTTCTAGACAACGTATGTTTCATTGCAAATGATGAAGAAACTAGCTTGAAAAACTTGGGACGTTTTCGTGCATGCTGTTTGTCTGGTGTTGTTTTGTTTTTTCTCTGTCTTGCGATGACTCTTACACTAATCCTCACGTTTGTCGTGGCATGTCTCCATAGGCAGGCCGAACAAGCTTGCTTTCGAAAACACCTTGTTCCTGCAATACACTATTGCGTTGCCCGTTTACTGCTGTACGCAGGTGTCTATCGCAAAGCTTTTTTCCTACGCTGATGGGAGGGACAAGTTGTACATGTTCGTCGGGGTCATCGCTGCGGCAATACATTCCTGGTGAGGCCGACACCCTAACCCGAGGGCGCTTTTTTCAAAAAGAAATTCTACTTCATGCTGTGTTTGTCTCTGGCATGCCAACACCGTGAACGTCCCCAACAACGCCGGTATGTGCCCGGCGAATCGAGAAAGGTTTCTTCTACAATAGTCTATGTGTTTGTCTCGGGCATGCTTTTGCAGTGGGGGGGGCTCGATCGGGCCGGTATGTGCCCAGCGAATCGACGGGCACCATTCAGACTACGAGACTACTTGGCGATTCAGTCTGTACCAAACAGTCTCACCGGCGCTTCACAGGGCCTCCGGTGCTATTCAACCAGCGTTAATTAGGGCCCCCCAACTGTGCTCAGGTCCAATCTTCCCTGAAGGGTCAGAATATATTTCAGTGTCAAGACGGCAGTCCGACAATCGATTTCTGTGCTTCATTTGCACGATCTATAGCTCCCCCGTCTTTAGCAACGTTTGGCAGAGGAGTAGGAAGGAACAATCGATGATCGGTCCTCTGGGGAAAAGGCACCGGCCTGTCGAGGACGCGCGGTCAATGGTCTGACAACCAAGGCGTGAAACACATGAGTACCCCCCCCCCCCCC